CCTGGAAAAGCCGTGTCGAACGTGTACTGATATTTGCTTATCCGTTTATCTTTCTATCAAGAACACGTGAAACTAATAAATATTCAGAATTTCAAAATGTAAACAGTTGGGGAAAAAGACACCCGGCTTCAATAAAAACAAAATACTTTTAAATAGTATTTTGTACAAAGCAATACTCTTTTGAATATATATGGTAGTCAAATGAAGTTCAAGGATCTTAACATTTCTCAAATTTTCATATCAATTTGAAGAAATATTTCCCGACTAAGGGCATTTAACCCTTTGTAATGAGTTAACTTGTGTGAAAGCAGAATAAAATAAGAGAATATGAATAGCGAAAATTGTAATTTGAACCAATCCAATCCAAAAGATATTTGATATTAATAGCGCCTTTTCCTTTTCCAACAACAAGAACATTTTGAATCTTTGAAGCTCACATTGGCCATTTGGTCAGTGGATTGTGGCGGAGATACTGACAACACTCCCGTTTGTCGTGAAAAAACAACAACATTAATTTCTGTTTTTCTCATAAGCACTATCTACCTTGGGGTACTATTCAAAATATACTATGGATAGCATCACTCTTCCTGAGTAAGACATTTCGACAAATTGACATTTAGTCATTCCGTGTGTTAGAAAATTGGGAAAGATGTACTATACATCACCGTAACATTATCGATTCTGTCAATTTGAAATGCCCTTGCGTCATTTACGTATAGGGAATGCAACTTAAAAAATTAAAACGCTATTACCCCCACTGGAAATAAGCTCTCGATCTTTCGTGGGTTATCCTGTTCAAGCTTGCTTATTTCTGATCTGTTATTATTGTATATTGTTGTATGTTGGAATCTTGTCGAATAAAAATCAATCAATCAATCAATCAATTATTGGTTGTCCGATTTCGTTTGAACTTTCGCCAGACTGGTTCTCTAAATTTGTTTGCTTCATGTCAGAGCAGTTTGCTATTAAGGTTGGATTTTCCTTATGTGTATTTCCCGGCCTTTGCTTCAAGGGGAACGAGGAACATGTCTGAAAAATGAAACCTGATGTATTAAAGTGGCACGTTCCCGCCAGTGTAGTTATCGCTGCTCTAGTCATCGCCATCTTGGTTCCGAAGATCGACTTCTAATTTGCATACAGCTGTCAATCAAAGTACGCGCGGCCTGCCGCCTGCCTTCGCCAAGCCAGCTGATCGCTGACGATCGCGACGTCACGAAAGTGGGCGGAAACAGCAGCCGAATTTTAGAGCCGAACTGCGATTGGCATTACTTCGGCACATGTATGCGATAATCGGTATTGTCCGGGCATTCGGAACATGCCATCTGCGTAAGAGCCGTATTCTGTTGGTGTCAATAGGCAGCTAGCACCGTCCGCCAGCGGATACGTATTTTGAACGCCCTCTGGAATACGGGGAACATGCCTCTTTAAAACAACAAAATATTAAAAAACTTAGCGAACCAAATTGGGTCGTGAGGAAAGGGGCTAAGATCATGGGAGTACAATACGTCACTTTGTCTCATATGCTTATATCATTCCAGATATCCCCAGTAAGAAGATCTCGCCATCATTGACCGTTCAACGATGTCGTGAAAAGTTGGAGAATAAGTACCTTAATCAATTATGCAAAATTCCAATGAAACCGTGGGATAAAAGTGATTATGCTGAGTTCAAAGATATACACACGGTTGTGACAATGGTGACGAAGGACGCTCGTGGCCAAGACACGAAAGAGAAGGAAATACTCCAGGGTTCTGTTGCTGACATTTTTTCGACGAAAGTAAACGGAAGACTGCCAGCTCGAATCCTCATTTCGGCCCCAGCTGGACGAGGGAAGACCACGGCTGTTGCTAAGATGGCATACGACTGGGTTCATAGAGAAAAGGGGTCACCATTAGAACTACTGCCACTTCTGTTTGTGGTGAAATTCCGAAACACAAGTCAGCGTACATCGATTGGAGAAGCAATTAAATCCCAGCTTTTGAACGATGTTGATGATCTCACACCAGAGGGTCTGGAGAGTTTCATTAGAGAAAATCAGGGAATATGTCACATCATACTAGACGGACTAGATGAGTATGCCGGTATTCCTTCTGCAAACCGGAGCTCAGAGAGCAATATGGTCAATGTCATCCGCTGGGAGGAATTTCCAGAGTGTCGGGTCCTTGTAACAACACGCCCTCACCTAGAGAACTTCTTCAATCAAGATGATCTTCCAACGGTATACACAAAGATGTGGATCGAAGGATTCTCGCAAGAGAGCTCACGAGAGTACATCGACAAGTTCTTTGCTTCGACTTCGAATCCTTGTCGTGGACATGGACATGATCTGAAGGTTTACCTTGATGACCAACCACTAATTAATGAGCTTGTTAAAACACCTTTATTTTGTCTCATGGTCTGTCACTTATGGAGCGAGGGGATGTTGAACACTGAAACTGCAACTCAAACAGAATTATTAGACAGTGTGAATGATTTTCTGATGCACCATGCCAATGCAAAATCAAAATCAAAAGACGAAATAACAAAAGAAGAACTAATCGAAATCATTCGTAAACTTGGTAAGGTTGCTCTAGCTGGTCTAATAGACGACTCTAAAAAAAATAGTTTTTACGTCCCATGATTTTCGAAAAATTCCTGGTATCCTTGATAGGGCATGTGAGCTTGGGTTGTTATCCAACATGACGATTCCAACGACAAGGCTCCCACGAACTCACAAGACCAATTCCACGACCATTGAATTTTATCACAAACTCGTTCAGGAACACTCGGCTGGGAAATATCTTGCTGCTAAAACGAAGAAATATATGTTACGACTGAATATTTCTAAGTTGGACAGACTGCTACGAAACATCAAAGCAAACATCGGTGACTATCAGAATCTCATCCGATTTGCTGCTGGCACAGATAACAGCCTTTGCATACGAATAATGGAGGCGCTCCTTTCCAACCGCTTTTTGGATGAGAGTGAGCGATATCGCATTCTTCTTGACTGCTCATCAGAGACCAAGGGTACTCAACAAAATGTGTCTTCATTGGTTCAAAGATATGTCAATGCAGAGAGGATTGTTCTGAAGTCACCGACTGTCTACACCGTCGTTGGGATGCAAAATATTCCAAAGCAACTTAAACGTCAGGTATGCACATTTTTAATTCACAAAATATAATACAATAATGATTTCATAAAGATTGTTTACATTTTCATTTCTCTGCTGCTACAATGAGTCAAATGGCTAATATATTTTTTGTAAGTGTATTCTTATTCATAATTAACCGCATCGTGATAAATCATACTGCATGATACAACGATCAATACGTATGATACATGGTCATTATCAGTCCATGTTTGCCCAACGACGGCCTCACTCAAGGTACTACATAACAGAAACAAGAACAATAATTTTAAACAAAATAGTAACAAAATACAAAGGTCGTTGGGTATATTCATTTAGAGAAAAAGAGATCAACTAATTAATGTTATTTAATTCGTATAAGCTTTTTAATCTCCCTATCTTTTTATAAATACAATAGGTTATGACTATAAAGTTCGAGGAATCTACTATAACTACCGGCGTGACGAGTGGACTGTGGTCCTGCCTGGGATCATTTTCGATGCTACGTACTCTCACCATCTCAGACTCCTCTCTCAGTTTCCCTCCATCTTCTCCTGAGCTTCCATCCGTCACAGAGCTATCAGCCAAGAGAGTGACGTCACAAAGCTATGAAGGTCTGCTCTCATCGCTACCTGGCTTGAGAGATATCGATATCACTATCGGTGATGCAGAGAGAGACATACCTCAGATCAGGGCAGGTCTTCGTCGGATAGGAGGACAGCAGCTCACAAGCATCGACCTTACAGCACCGGACTCACTCCCATCAGAGAAGAACAGTGTATCGAGAGAGACGATGAGAGGACTGGGTTTTCTGATCAGAGAACAAACCAAGAAGCTGCGGTGGCTAGATCTGGCCAGGGTGAAGTGCACAGACGAGGAAGACTTGGTTTACCTCATAGAGTGCTGCAGACGGGTGAATACGATGTCAAACGTGTGGTAGGTTCTTGTTCAAATCTAGTATAAAATAAATTCAAATCCTACTAGATGATTCTATTCATTTACTCTGCAGTAGTAAAGCATAATGAAGGGATGAAATGCGTGAAGGGATGAAAAGGTTAAAACGTAGGTGTAACTTCCAAGTTTTTGACTGACAGTTAGAATGATTTTTGATTATCGCTCTCAACTGTTATTTTATCATTTTTAAGTAGCAATGAATAGAATTTGAATGCCTGTATTGAAAATCCAAAATTGTAATATGCAGTTGAATGTATTATTAATATAATTATGCCCCGTCGGAAGCTAATTTAATGTAAAAACCATACCAAACCATATCCTTATAACATTAATTATTATTATTATTACTATTATAATTATTACGATTATCATTATTATCATTTTAACATTCTAGCCCATAATTCGACTTATAATTGTTGAATTTTAAAAGCTTAAACAATGCCAAACTAGGGGAAATTACTAGTTTTCACGACCCCCCCCCCCCCCCCCGCCGGAGGTTGATTCATCATCTAAAATTAATTTCGATTTCAGGCCCGTAGCCAGAGTTTGATTTTTTAATTAAAAAAAAATAAAAAATTATTGATTGATTGATTTATTCTTTAATTATTATTATTATTATTATTATTATCATTATCATTATTATTATTTTTTTCGGGGGGGGGGGGAGGCACATAAACCTAACAGTTAGATCTACATTGATCGACGTCCTGAGGAGGGTTCTAACAAAGTTCAACAAAGCCCCACCCCCTCCCCAGTGGCTACGTGCCTGAATATTTTTGAAAATATATTTGTTATTAAAGGCTGAATCATTTTTGCCTTTAAACTGATGCTCGTGAGCTGTTTCATCGAATCAAATTTCAGCTAGAATCGATCTTGATAAATGTTAGGTTAAATGTAAAGGGCTCTGTGATCAAGGCTAGTCGATGTTAGGTCAATCACACAAATGCGTCGCTTAACTACTGCAAGAGAGGTCCTCAAAAAGTAAGTAAATTTCATTTTCTTCTAAAATATTCATTCTGTTGAAAACAAATTTTGGTGGAAGGAAAGTATTCTTCTCATTTTTAACCGAACGATATTTGACATAAATATCAATACTAGTAATAATAGGGTCTAGCGTTCCCCAACTTCTGAGCTAAAAATAAGATGGACGAATTGCATTGGTTCATGCATTTCCGTCCCATCCATGCATGTTCAACTCTACTTGTCTAACGACATTGAATATTTGGTTATGACAGGTCTGAATTCATTAAGAAATATAGTTTATTCTTGCGTTTGATGACAAAATAAATAAGTCCACCACGGCTTTAGAAATCATCGCGTTGAATGGTCGCCGATAAAAAGTCTAGTGCGTATAATCTAGGCCTAGACTCTAGGCTATAAATTGAGGTTATAAATGCTCAGTTTCCAAATCTAACTTAGACTAGACTCTAGATCTAGGCCTACTTTGTTATTTGCCGGTAGGCAGTGCGGTAGGTCCTTTTTCATTAACAATCGACGGGGTCATTGTTTCAACGTTAACATTTTATGAAAGAAAAAAAATTGTCTCCACAGTTTCAGACACAAGACCAAGTTAGATCTTGATTAAGAATAAGATCTTAATGTAGATTTGGTCTGCATCATTATACTAGATCTAGGGACTTAAGGTCGATGTAGTCTAGACCTAGTCTCTACACTGCACCTTTTGTGCAGGATTAACTTAGATACATCAGAATTTAGAGTTAGTCCCTTAGTCCTAGATCAACTAGACTACTTGTATGTTTGTGAGATCTAAATTAAACAGGAGTTAGATCTAGTGTACAGTAACAGTAACAAGTTCGATTTTAGACTAGATATAGAATGTTATGTAGTAGAGTCTAGGCTCATGTATCGAGCTCTATATTTTGTTTTTCTTCATTTCATTTTTCTTTCAGAGTCAGAGATGGAGTGGACATGGACTCTTGAGTCATATCCAAGAAATAGACCTCTATAGTCTTCAACGTCTCTCATCCTACCTCTGCCCCGAGGAAAGGATATGGATCTGCATAATGTAATCTGGTTCAAGGTGTACTGCAAGATCCTACCATACTAAGTGGCCTTTTGATGTGATTATCTTAGCAAAGTTTGAACACCGACATGAAATAAGGGTGAGGTTCTTTTTCTTCTTCATGTTCTAGACCTACATAGAAATAAAGTACTAACTTTTTGTTCAGTTTATAGTCTTTTATATTCATTTATGATAAAGGGTTAAGATACCGGATATTGGATTTTTCAATAACAAACTGAAAATGTTGCGTTCTTAATCTATTAGGAAGCCAACCATGACGGGTCAAAAACATAGATACTTGATCAGCCAGATTTTGATCAATTGTGCATAGAATAGGGAAACAGTGAAAGTATAAAGATGTGATTGAACAAACTCTAATTAGCATATTCATGATGTAAGCTGTTTTCTGTTCGTTATATACCATTAAAGGCATCTCTTTTACTTCTATTCCCCAGAGGGTAGTTTTAATCAAACTCTGTACAATAGAGTTCGGTTCAAGATCAGAGTATCCATGATTAAGATTTGACTGTTGTTAGTTTGATATTACAAATAAAAGCTCTAGTTCAAGATCAAGATTTTAAAGAAATGTTTGGGATCATAGTCAAAAGCAAGATAAGTCCAGAGTGTATTAGAAGTTTCCACATTACACAGTCCACCATTTTAATTACAATTAGAATCACTGACGAAAATATGCTTTTGTTCAGTTGAACACATTAGAATAAGTAAAGTGACAACTATTTTTCTGAGAAACATATTTGCTCTCTTCATGAAATATGTTTATCTCCGTTTCCAATCTTAGGTTGCAAAGTAAAGAGCTGTAGCATCTACATGAACTGCAAATCTCATGGCATCTGGACTTTCATACCTAGAAGGTCTTATTCATCTCTTTAAGTTGAAAAGGTAAGGGTAAGGGTTTACCAGTAAAATTAATTGATCGTATTAGTATGTTTTGTGCCTGTCATCATTGCCATGCCTCTACAGTAATCAATATGAAAGAGAAAAAAAAAACGAAAGAATAAGTACAGTTTTCATAGTCCTTGTTAGAGATCTAATTCAGATTGTATCTATTGTATAAAACATACACAAATGGTTATGAAATTTTTCTTTTCCAAAGCCTAAAAATAAATTATTTATAATTTTGTCTTAACTTGAACTGCTTTCGTATCAATATTTTCAAAGAATGTTTTATATCATTCTACTTTATTCATTTCCAATCAAAGAAATTGACATGATCAGAAATACAAAAGTTGTAGAAAGATTGAACAATTACACTAGTAGTTATTAATTGTTTTATTGCATAACTGTTTATTCCAGATTCTAGACTGCAGAGCCTGAATTCCCTGCAACATTATGCTTCATCTGGAACATCAGCCAGCCTACAGATACAAGCTCCCTTTCCAGCTCTAAGCAAGAGGGACCACAATGCTAAACAGTTCGTGGACATGTCGCTTTTTTCAACTACGACTTTCCATGAAACAGACTTTCAAATTAATTCAGCTAAAGCTATAAAATATATTTCAGTCAGGGTACCATCGGTTTGCCATCAGTTCGCCATGAGTATGAGATTATTGGTTTGATAAGTATTTATCAAGTAAGGTCTAAAGGAACTAAGATTTTCAATGATACTTCCAAGAATTCTATTATTTTAAATAGAATGTCAGAATCTTGCGGAAGAAAGAGCAAAATACTAGTTATAGGATAAATGATACAACTAAAGTCATTATCCATATTAAGTTAGCGCTGCTATTTCAGCCTGCACTTTCGAGAAATATTTTATTAAGGGTTGTTGCTGATTTTAAAATCTATGATTCTGTCATGGAGGTTTACTGTTTTTAAACTTACTTTACATAGACAAATCCGTTCATGGTGATGAATCTTAAAATATCAAATCGGAAATTTCAAAGGGGCAAATTAATCTGAGCAGCAGTGGATAAATTTGAGGGCCTATTTGGAACTCTCCCTAAAGGTTTTGTTGGCATGACCATGTGTTGATGATTACCTTTTAAAGCCTCAATTGAATATTTTTATCATTTGCCTAAGAACAGCATCACAATAAACAACTGAATAATGTTACTGCAGTGAAAACATTTTGGCAGGAAATTATATCAACTCGGATTTATATTGTCCTTAGAAAATGTTCAAATGTGATAGAGAAAATCTATAATTAACTTCATATAGACAAACTGGTGTATCATGAAAACACATTTTCACAAACTGCATGACCTCACATGAGAATGTGTATATGCCTTAGATTAACAACCATATAGGTAAGACCAATCTTTAGCACAAATGTTATTCCTTTAATCTCCATCAAATTACACCGAGTAGACAGTGGCATTTATTAGCTGCAATGGCTTACAACTGGCTGTATGTCATGAAAGGATTTTTATCCAGGCGAGAAGGGAAATGTACTACTCAAAGGAAATGTACTACTCTAAGGTCAATTAGAGGTAGCCAAGCGTAGGATGCATTATTGCATACATTTACATTTAACACACACAGTATATGGGGGTTTTGATATGCATGATTTTGGGTTGGCTATTTAATGTAGAGATAAATAGAAATAGCTGGATGCCAAGGAGGTTTTGAATGTGAAGGACCTGGAAAAGAAAGGGTAAAGGGAAGTTGCTGTAGAATGATAGGCAGAACCCTTCAAGTCAGTGCTACGGTGCAGACGTTTATTGCACGAGGTAGTTATTTAGTGGCAGAAACATTATTCTTGACAAAGACTTTTTACGTCTGGGCGAGATAAGCTGTCAAGTCGACGGGGATTCTACGCAGTCTAGAGACTGGCCAAGCGACCAGGGAAGTCATCGACAGAGATCGAGATAAGCTGTCAGGTCGACGGGGATTCTACGCAGTCTAGAGACTGGCCAAGCGACCAGGACCAGGAGGGACTCACGAGATGGAAGCTGCACTGTTACAAAGTTATGTTCCATTAAATTGTTTATGTGCTGTTGATTTTTTTTGACGCCACGATTTGTTGGCTGAATATTAAACCTTTATTTAAACTTATACAATTGTGTTCTGGTGTGGTTTTCTGATGAGGTAGCAGTGTAAATAATTAAAAAAAAGTCACTCACGTGACACTGTACTTCAATAGCAGTACTTTCATTTGTGTCATTTAAAATGTTTTTATTGTATCCCTTGAATTAATTTGCTATTGCTCAACATATACAAAGTGTAGATTTTCGTGCATTCAAGCAAAATAAAAACGATTATACTTTAAAGCCTGAAAAATCTGTGTGAATTATATTTTCTATTTAAGCAATGTACTGTTTTTCATTTAAAAAGAAAAAATGGAGTTGGGGAAAAGAATGAATGGATGAGATTAGACGCTAACGCATGGTAGTTATCATGAAATGATGTGATTCAATGATGGTGTGTTTGTTTGATGGGGAGTATTCAAATAACCTAGCAAATCTTTTATATTGTTTTACTTTATTCATTTATTCCTTTGTTCCCTTTTTCTTTTCTAGTTTCCTTTTTTTTGTGGGGGGGGGGGGATGAAACGAGTTGAAATGGGAGTGTGGTTGTGTGTTAATGGGGGTAGGGGTGGGAGAGAGATTATATGAATAGAATAAGGGCACAAATTAAAAAAAATATGGTAATTAATTGCCCCTAAATGGCCATTAATTTCGTAAAGAATTCTCCATTTTCCGATACATAACCAAATTGAAGTCGGCCATCGTTTACGCCTTTCAAGCAAATCAATGCTGAACATATCGGATTAATAGTAGGATATTTTTTTTCGTCCGTTTTCTTTTTAACATGTTTACTCAGGCTCTCAGTATTAAATGTCATTTCCTGAGAGGCCCTGGACAAATTATATGTCAAAAATACAGAGGAAATTAAACAAAGTTTGAATACGTATTACCTATGATATCATGGATTATTTTTTTACGTTTTTTCAAACATTATATAAACCTTTTTTTGTATAGATATTTGACGAGCTTAAGCAATATTACATATTTCCTTTCGAAACGAAGATAGATGATTAAAGCGGGAAAGCTGAACTACTCGTTTAGTTTGTTACTCCTGAAAAGAACCATCTCTAGAATTTGAAAAAAATTGATACCATTTATCTTGAAATTTATTTTAAAGCTTGAATCTTTTTTTTTAAAATTTCATTATGAAATATGTCTTAAAATCAAATACAATTTAAGGCCTTTAAAATTGATCCGATTAATTTTAATAACAATTTCAAGGCCTCATGAAACTTCCCCTGATCTTTCCCCTCCCCTCTCCACCTCCCGGAGTATGTGTATGTTGTTGCTAATCATTAAATAAGGCCTACACAACTAAATCGTTCATGGAAAGAAAAAAAAAAACATCAGATATATAAATCCCAACATGAAAATACTAATAGTATCATAGTTTACGCATTCTCTGTCTGTTTCTATTTCTTAATTTCTTAGTTCTTTGAATGTCTCTCTACAATATATTTTCCTCTCTCTCTCTTTCTCTATCTATCCCCCTTTTATCGCGCTCTTTCTTTCTCTCTCTCTATCTCTCTCTTTCTTATTTGTTCTCTTTACTCTAACAGCCAACGCACCTAATACCTCTATCACTCTGTTTTCTGAACATAGGTTATACCGGTGTGGAACACGAGATGGCGGCAGACTGGAATCCTATCTCGAAAGTCTTCAACAAGCACCATCAAGAGGCATCCTCTCTGTGGTGCTTCATCATGTAAGTATTGCTCCACATTGTATGCACTTTACACTTTCACTATTTCTCATTTACATCTGTATAACAATCGCTTTTATGCTAATATTGTTCAGTATTGTCATTTTCGATATCTAATTTCTAAATTTATTTACATGTTTAGGCCTATTTTATTTGTTAACAATTCCTTTCTGTTATATTTTTTCTGCAAAATTATTTCCTTCTGCTTCATAAGTTTTCAAACTTTTTCTTTTTCTTTTGAGTTCTCGTATCAGATTCTTTTGTCTCTGTCCCGGGTCTCTGTCTTTATTGTTGTTGATGATTGTTATAATAATAGTAATAATAAACAATATTTATAAGGCGCTTAATACTGGTGTCTCTAAGCGCACCATATAGACCAGTTCACGGGTAGCATCTTACTGCAATGACCCCGAATATCCACAGATCTTCAAAACATGAAGAGGTCCCACTTTTTACATTTTGAAATAATCACTCCTATAGCGATGGAGGTGCTTTAAAAATAGCCTTTGTTCACTCTTTTCAAAGAATACTTCCACCTGTGTACCATGGAGTGCACTGAATGTGCATGAATGAATAATGTTACATAACTTTCATGAGCACGTATCCAGTATTTCGTCTCCGTGTATTTCAAAATTTGTTCTGCAATGACCTTTATCTGCTCATGCTCAGACTGCAACCGTGAACTGGCTTATTCTGACTTAACAATTATTTACCCAAACTTATAATAAACACACAACTTATACATCTGTTTTTTATTCAATAAATCATGCATATATAATAATAAAAAATAAGATAAGAGTGAGATCAAACATACATACAAGAGGTCAAACATAGGATCAAACATAGGATCGAACAAACAAAAAATAAGACGGTGTGCACCTCCTGTGACCGACTCACAACTGCAGAATATTATTTATGAATTAAAAAGGTGCGTTTTCAGCAAGGACATGAATTGGTCGAGAGAATGAATAATATGAAAGTGCGCTGGTAATTTGTTCCAAAGGATAGGGGCATTTACTGAGAAAGCTCGATCGCCATATTTTGTAACGGTACGAGGTCCGAGGGTTAACTGCAAGGTTGATGATGATCGAAGAGGTCTTAAAGAACTAGAAGAACATAAGGAAATCAAATCTGAAAGATATTTAGGGGCTTGGCCATTGTTATCCCATTTC